CAACAATCAAAGAATGCACATGCGGAATAGATAAATCACACATAACATACCCAAAGACATTCCACAATGAAATCCTTTCTCATGTAACCAAACCCTAAACCGCGAATTGACAACTTCCTTCCATTGTCTCTTTTACCTCACACGGCCCTAACCACAAAGGCTAAAAGACCAGTGATCCGACATGTAATACACCGGCCCTAGGCTGCAATCCCGTTCCTCCGGGTATTACAATCGGTAGTCACAGTCCTAGGCTGCAATCCCGTTCTTCCGTGATTAGCGATATCTGGAAGTGTCAACCGCTCTCTACAATTGTTAGAATGTTACATGATCCTCTTGATCACTTGTAACGCCTAACCTCACACACAACATAAAAATTTACCTTTGACCCGTATGTATCTAGACTGATCACACGCGGACCAGCTTCCTCTAGAAATCCTGTATCCACAAAAGTTAGCGGCAAATACAAACATAAACATCCTATGACTCATGCAGCATGCAATCACACAATCAAACATTCTAGCAAATTCCTAAAATTCTAGCATGAACCTCTACGACTATAAAGCATAAGAATAAACAAGCAACATGTGCTCTACTCATCTAGCACACGACAAACATCACCAAGACTCACCTTATTCAAACGGTTAGGACTTAGACTCGGACTTAGTCTTAGAACGGATCTAGGTTCCTCGATTACCCCACGATCTAACAAATCTTCCCTTTCCTTAAAATGGACAGAGTTTCGGCTTGAATCTCGATCATTCCAACCATCAAAACCACATAGGGTTGGACTCAAGATCACAATACAAAACTAAGTCAGATAGAAAAGTTAGGATCATAACGCCTTACCCTAAAAACTTCAAGGCACTACTAGATGGTTCCCGACAACACACCGCAGATTGGATCACGATCACGAACTATTTTGGTCAGAGGTTTGGAAACGTTTTCTATCTAACAAATGGGAGCTACTTGGTCCTATTTATAGGGTTAAGCAAGCAGGTAGGCACAACATGACGGTAAGAAGTGTGTGTCGTGTTTCCCGATGAGTCGTTGCACATGGTCGCGACACCTCGTGCTTGCGGATTTGTCGTGCTTGTGGATTTGTGGTGCTTCCGATTACTCGTCACATAAGATCGCGACACCTCGTGCTTACGGAATTTGTCGTGCTTGCGGATTTGTCGTGCTTGCAAATTTCTCGTGCTTGTGGATTTGTCGTGCTTCCGATGACTCGTCACACAAGATCGCGATACCTCGTGCTTACAGGATTTGTCGTGCTTCTGATTTGTCGTACTTGCGGATTTGTCGTGCTTGCGGATTCCAAGCACATCAATCCCGAGCAGCTGTGTCATGCTTCCGCAAACTTTTATATTTTTGTAAAAATATCAAGTTTGAAAGCACCTTGCCACCTCGTGCTTCTCGCCACGTCGTGATTCGGACCACCTCGTGCTTAAAATCCCGTCATACTTGACAATTTCTTTTCTACAACTACATCTTGACTCGAGCATCTCCCGTAATTATTTTGATCTCTTGACCGGGTCATTACAAACGGGCTACAAAAAAAGTCCAAAAAAACAAAGTTTTATCATCACCAATTACGAGTAGATTTAACATGATCGCGCAAATCTCACCAACTAGGATGAAAAGCGCGAAAATCTCACCAAATAGAATGAAAAGCGCGAAAATCTCACCATGTAGAATGAAATGCAGTTTCTGCGTATTTCCTGATGAACGTCGTCCAATACATAATTGTCTGAGTACTGATGCATGTTATAGAAGAAAAGACCATTGATGAGAGGTTCTGGTCCGAGTTCATCAATTGAGACAGGCAAGGGAATCTGCTCTCGGTGGAACTCGTAAATCTCCATAATCTCTGGACGATACAACCAATTATTCATTGAATTCTAAAAGATCTGAGTGATTGGAGGAGGAAATCTGAGTAACTGCTGCATAATCTCCATGATTTTAGAGCATCTCCTTCTAAATACTTTTTGCAATTACTTTTTCGGATTCTTTTAAAAATTTCGAAAAAATAGATTACCAATCGATTAAAATTATAATAACAATAATCACACAAATAAAATACATTTACGTACTCTCTTAATTTTTTTTTTTTGAAAATTAATGAGAATTGTATATGCAACAAAGTTTCAAGAAAAATATTTGTTAGAATTTAATTTTCGTGACAATAATGTTTTGTAATTATCTTTTGTCTAAAAAATATAATTTTCTATAAAATTTTATAATAGATATTTATTACAGTAATTATTCTCAAATAAATTAAAAGAAATAAAAATATATTCGCATTTGTTTAAAAAAAACTAATGAATATTTTTTCTAACTCGATACAATTAAAAATAACCAAAATATTCAAAATCATTCGTATGTAAATTTACAATTACAAAAATTTATGAATATATTATATTAACACAAGAAAATTAAAAAAATAACCAAGATATTCAAGATCATTCGTATGTGAAGTTACAATTACATATCATTACGTTTTATTGTTGAAAAATTAATTTTAAATTAATTTTAAAATCGATTGAACATTTTTGTAGTTTTTTTATGTAAAACAAAAACTACTCATTAATATCCACTCAAAAATATTTAATAGTTTTATGGACATTAAAAAATAAATACGAAAAATCAATTAGTAATTCTCAATTAGTAATTTTGTATTTCTTTTTGT